TTATCTTTTTTATAATAGCTTATCTTTTTTATCTTTATTTTCTTTCTTTTCCTTTTGGTGATATCATGTATCGATTCATGTTAGCCGGCCCCAATTCTTTTGGGACTAAGGCTTGGATGTTGTTGTTGTAGTAAATTAAAAATCATAATACTTCCCCCCTTTACGGATTTAATCTGATTAATAATTACACATATTTTTTATATTGTATTTCTAGCAAATATTGATTGGGTTTGGGCCGTTATCCGGGCTGACCCTCCGAGTGTGGGTTGACCTTTGACTCGGTAACTTTTCTGGGTCGCCCTGCGGTCCTGTTTTAACATCATAGACAATTAACCCTATAGCTTGAGTCACTAATTTGCCAAAGGATATAATTGGATTTGGTCATAGCCTCAGACTCCAAACACGCATCAGTTTCAATTGAAAATTTGATGTTTTCTCGTAGGGGAATCACTATTACTATATACCATTGGAATATAGTAATTCAAAATTAGAAGCCTTTCTTGTTTTCCAATCTAACTCCTTTAACCAAATTGGGCCTTGAAGATTTTACAAACCCTTACAGTCACACATCTGATGTCTATCTTATAGAAACCCACATTATCAAATTCTTGAGTTAAATTTGTTTTTGCATTTTGTAGTGGTCGTTTGGCATGTTATGAAGATGTCCCAGTGAAATCTAGAAGAACTAGAATTCCTTTTTTAAAATAGGGTTTTTGGCACAAGATTTATTTCACACCAAAGGTGTTTCATACCTCCTCTCTTGTGTTTTTTCAGGCCACATGATGTGATAATCTTCATTGTTGGAGGGACTACGTATGAAGAGTCACGTGCAGTTGCTTTACAAAATTCTGTGGCATCTGGCATTCGTTTCATACTCGGCGGCTCTGTAATTCTCAATTCTAGGAGGTCCGTTTTCTTATAACCTAAAGGTGGAGTCTTAATAGAGGATTTAAAGTGACGATTAAAATGATATAGGGGGTGTTTGGAATTGATTCTGCTTCTTTTTTAAAGCAGATTCAGAATCAGTTTTCAGAAGCTGGTCTCCCCCAACTTCTAAAAAACTGATTCTAGGAGTAAATTAGAGTATCAGAATGACTTCTGCACTTTCACCCAAACACTCCAACTTCTGCTTCTGCTCTCTCTGAAAGAGCATAAGCAGTTTTAAGAATCACATCCAAACACCCCCATAGATACGTAGGAATTGCATTATGCTGCTGACTTTCCATTTTTGGAGGTGATGTTATTATGAAGTGCATTCTATTTGCTAGTTTCGCTCTGTGCACCCACAACCATTAACATCAACATACGTAGTAGTTTCATCTGAACATTGTGTTAGTTTTATTAATCACTCGATTCACTCCATTAGTTGATCTATATGAATAATTCTTCAACAAAACACTTGCTTGGTCCAAAAGAGGGTACATGGAGGGGATCAAATGAAAATGGAGGTCGTTAAAAGAATAAGGGAAAATGGTCAAATAAGTTCTTCTACTATTTGGCGTAGGGCCGTCTTTTAGGAGGTGCAATAGGTGCTTGGCACCGGGGCCCATTCTTGCGGGCCTCCAAAAACTTAGAATGTAGTATTAGTTATAGGTTCATTTTTCTAGATGTTATGTATTATTCAAGATTCTAAAAGGTATATAACTTTTAGATTCTCTAATTTGTGTGTTTTAAATATCATGAAACTTATATTTCATTGAACTTTCTAGTCTATTTGTATTTCATTGTTAAAATTTGTATTTTTTCTTGTTTTAGGGCCTCAATTTGCCATTTGGAACCGTTGCCTCCAAATTCATTAGACGGCTAATATTTTATTTCCAATTCGTCACTTAAGCAAAAAGTATCGTATAAGTACGTTTACTTTTAAAATACAATCAATCAAGGAAGACATTTAACCTGCTATAGCAGGTTATTTTTAAAAAAATAAATTAGAAATATTGATAAATCTTACAAATTCAAATAAAAATAATAGATAAAATAATCTAATAATAATATAAAAAATAGTATAAATGTAAGAATAGATAAAATTTTAAAAACATTAAAAAAAAATCAGAAAACTGAAAAAATAAAGTTAAAAAAAAAATTAAAAACCTTTTAAATAGATGTAGAATGTACAAATATTTTTAAAAATTAAAAATATTTACTTTGATATTATGAAAATTTCAACAATTTTTGTATATAATTCTTCAAATTTAACAATTTTTTAGAGTTTTTAAATATATTTAAAAGCTACTGTTACAGGTCAAAAACTGATTAAATTGTCAAATTAATCAATTTTGTAAAGTAGGCCTATTTATATGATACTTTTTTTTTTACTATAGAGGCTTAAGTGACGGATTGGAAATAGTAGAAGAGTTTATTTGACCATTTTTCCAAAGAACATTGTGTTTGGTGCACTATAAGAGTAAGGAGAAATTAGTACTTAGGAAAAAACTGTAAAAATATTGTATTGATATAATTTTTGTTGTAATGAAAAATTGCATAATGTTCATAAATAATGATAAGTAATGCAGAATAATTCGGTAACTAAAAAAAGCTGAAACAATTTGAAATACTAACTTTTCAAAATACAAATTGGGGGAATTTAGTATTTTGTAGCTCATCCACTTTCCTCTCTCTACCAACCACCTCAATGAAATGCAAACAACTCAATCACTTCTCCTCCGAAATCCTCAAACCAAACAAAGGCTACATGCATACATGCTAATAAACTTATGGTCTTTAACCCTGAAGCAAATGTTCATCACAGATGTATGAGAATCTGAGGTGAATCTCAAATAAAGGGAAATTCAAGTTTGGTTCATCATATAGTTTTTTGGGTGCATGCTAAGTTGCAAACCTAACAAATCCATTTTTGCGTTGATTGGCATTGCCAATAGCTTTTTAACGCTCCCTTTAGTATTTTTTTTCTTTTCCCCTTTTACTATGCATTTTGAATATTCTTTCATTTGGCTTGTGTAGATTTCTGAAGGATCTCGAAGAAGCCCAGAGAATTGCTCGGACAAGCACTAGCGTGGCTTAAAAGATTCAGCATCAGGACTTTCCCGCCATTTATGATGGACAAGTAAAAATAGGCCCGCATCTTTTTTATGTTGGGATGATGGAGTGAAGTTCAAGAGTGCGACTTATTGAACATTGAAAGTTTGATGTATAAAGTTGCCTTTAGTGTGATGGACAATCACAATTGTAGTATTTGTCAATAATTATACGGCAAGAGAAACGTCCAATTAGTACAAGTCCAAACCCGATTTCTAACTACTACGGCTTTCCTTTTATTTTTTGACAACTAATTAAAGATTTTGTAATTTATTCACACAAAGTTCTATTTAGTTATTCATTTGACATATTAGCCATCTTATAGTTTATGTTTTACCATGTAGAGTTTACGCTCCAGGGTTTTAGACTTTTAGTCGTGGTGTGGATAAAACAAAAGACTTGAGCTACAGAAGCATGAAAGTTGTGTGTCCGGCAGTATTATTTTAATTAGGGAAATGGATGTAGGGCTATTATTATTACGGAGTATTATTTAAATAAGGGGATATGAATTACGTAAATACTAGAAATGGATGGTGGGCTATTATTTTAATTAGTTAGGAGATTAAGGCAAGGTTTTGATCTATTTTATTTTGCCACAAGTTACTGGGAATGTTCAAGGGGTTTGGGCAGCAATTATTGTTTCCAACTTCCAAGTATTATTGTTGCGATTAATTCAATGCATAATCCCTGGTATTTTTATTTATTTATTAGTCATAGGTAATTGATTATTGCTTGGGGATCTCGAAAAGGAGATCAATCTCATGGTGGATTTTTTTTGGAGAACGCATGGTGGAATTGATTAGTGATACATGTGGTTTAAAATTAATTATAAGATTATAAGACGTATGATTTACGATTGAGCAAAATAATTTAAATATTCTAAATTTTGAAGGGTGGTAGAACAGTACTCAAACTTGCACATACTTGGTTATATAGATTCTATATAAAAAGTTATGTTAACACCATCATCATAAGTTTGTTCACAAATCTAATTTTATAATGTTAAGTACATAATATAAAATAAACAAACATTTATGAGCTAAGGATGCTATTGAATTCAAAGTGTACGAGATGTAATATTATTTATTTCACAATACATAAAAAGCTTAGAGTATTTTAAATTATGCAATTATTCCAATAAGGTTATATTTGGAAACAAACATACAAATCATGGTGTGAAAATAAATTATTACATAAAGTTTAGGGTATATATATTTTAGGAAAACTCTCAAATATATTCCCGTATTGTATCGAAAAAGTGAATCAAGTCCTTCAACTACTAAATCATTCAATCAAATCATCCGACTATAAAAAAACACTCAATTTGACATTTCAACGGGAAACAACCGATTATTAAGAGGTTAACTTGCACGCATTGGTAATCCAGGTGGCAACTTTCACATTTTTCATTTTTTTTTTCTTTTTTCCATTTCTTTTCCCCTTCTCTTTCCTTGTCTGTCTTCTTCCGCCCAAGCCCCATGCCTGCAACATCCGTTATTTCTCTTTGTTCTCTATTTCCTTTTTTCTTTATTCCTTCCACCCTATCCAATCAGAAGGAGGTATAGCTGGGCATGGACAAGGGCGGAACTTCAACGAGTGCAGAACTTCAACTATGACCGGTGAATTTTTTAGCCAACCGGTTAAAAATCAAAATTGAGTGTTTTCTTATTGTTGGAGGATTTAATGTAATTTCGATATAGTAAAGAGACCTATTTGATAGTTTTTCTGTCTAAAAATAATAATCCATCCGTCCCTTAAAACTTTGTCAACTTTTCTTTTTTAGATGTCCCATTAACTTTGTCATTTTCTTTTTTAAGTAAAAAAATTGTGACTTCAATTCATTCTCTCTCATCGACACAAACATCAACAACACGATTTTTACTTTATTAATTTCCGAACCGGTCAAACTTGACAAAGATTTCAAAGACGGAGATAGTAATTATAATAATACAAACACAAACCCATTACTCTTTGATTAGTCGCTAATTCAATTAATTAATATACCATTCCGTATATATGACTATATATATGAGACAAATATATAATGGCACGTACATAAGACACATATATTTGATCCATGAAAATGAAAGTACAAACGCTCAACTAATTAACCACAAGCATTAGAAGCCCAAATCATCATTAATAAGTAATAATAACAATAATTATTTTGAAAGGAAGAAACCCTAATATATAATAATAATTTAGAAAGAGTTAATTAAAGAAACGAAGTGCTGAGGACATGCATTTGTAGCTGTGTGCAGGTCTTCGATCAACTACGTCTCGTACGTACTTGCTACTTAATTAATTAATGGTTGTGATTAAGGAGGAGACGTTTCGCATTTCTCACTTTTGCAGCTCGACACACAACTTTCCTGCTTCTGTTGATCTGCCGCATCTGCACATGTAATTCATTATTCATTGGTTAATTAAAATAATTATTGTTGAAACTATGTTAACTAAGAAAAGTTGACTTTGCAAATTATTTTAAGATGAGTCACTATGAAATAATTGAAGCGCAGAATGCTGGATGTACCGTACCGTTATTATTATTATTGTTGTTGTTATTGTTTTTGTTGTTACTGTATATGATGTTGGTGCCATCGCTGCCGCCAGCCCCGATGGTACCACTGGCGATACATTGGTTAAGACATTCGAGATTACAATGGAAAACTTGGCGTGGAGGGAGCGGCGGAATGCAGTGCATGGGACAGAACTTGAGGCAGGCGGGAAGCCCAATTCCGGCGGTCCTGCATTCTCTCATGCACACCCCAATGCAAGCCACTTTCATCAGGTTGGCCGAAGCTGGTTGCAGCCCAGACAATATAACCAACACAGCCGCCGCCGCCATAAATAGCCTCATGCCGCCTCCTTTCTTACCTTCCATATGATCCAATCGATATATCTTGATTAGCTAGATCGGTTACGAGATAATCAGATGTAGCTAGGTGATATATATTGGCCTGGCCTGGACTGAGAGGAAAGCTAAGCTATGGTCGGTTTTTATAGTGCCAAATTTCCTAGCTCTAGCCTGTTTCAGGTCGGTCAAAATTGAAGAATGTTGTTGGCTGATTTTTAGGTTAGAAACACCTGTGGCATTTAGTTTAAGTTGAAACAGGTATAGTACTGGTTCATCAATTTATTACTACTATTTGTTTGTTTGTTGCATGACATGGCGTTATATTAATTCATTCCCATGCGCTCATTTTCCTCGCATGTATATATATGAGAAAAGATTTTTTATAGGATTGTTAGCTTAGTTCATCCCAAATTATGGTCAAATTCACAATTTTTTATCCTATGCTTTGACTTTTATAAAAGAAAGATTCAAACTCCATTTTTTTCAATAGTTATGCATTTCTTTTTCAATGTTCCAAAATTACATATTTTTATCAATATCAATAAGATATAAGCAATAAAAGTTTGTAAACTAATTAAAACTAGAAAGAAGTGAAAAATATGAAATATAAATATGATTTTCTTCTTAAGTTTTACTAGCTAATTCATCCATTGAGAGTGTAATTGTGAGAAAAGTTAAAGTTTAAGTCTTTTTTTTATAATAAAAGTGAAAGTATGAGATAAATTTGTAAATTTGATGATAGTTGGGGACTCAAACCATAATGTCTTACATTTGCAATTTGTAAAACAAAAAAAGTCAAACTGTCCGAACCGGCCTGGAACTGAAACCTGGACCGACAGGGTACCCGAGACCGGACCAGTCACCAGAACTCGTGAAAACTGGGTCAATTCCGAACTTCAATCATGGGGGACCGAGACCGGATCCACCCATACTTTATATAACTAGTGTTGTCATTATAAATGTAAAGTTGTCATTCTTCAATGTAATTCTTACTATTACCTCATATAAATGTTCTGCAAACTTATGACATCTTCTTTGAAAAAACCACAATGATGTCATTAAAGCACAGATTACTTGACAAAAGTTGTCATTTTTCTTTTACTCCGTCTTCCAAAATATGGCATAATTGACCTTTCTTGATCATTGATTGACCTTTCTTGATCATTGATAATCGAATTTGACTAGTGTATCTTCATACATAGTTATTTAAAATATGAAAATTATATGAGCATATTCTTTATTCAAAATCTTTCATAAAAATATAAAATTTATAGGTTACACACAAATATGGTACCTAAAATCATTCAACAAGAAAAATCAAATTTACCAATCTTTTTAGAAAGGAGGAATATGTACTTCAAATTTTGAAAACAGTACTCTGTTTTTTTTTATAACTTGTCAAGTTGTCAACTACTTGATAAAAAATTAGTGTATGCCATTATTAATACTTTGATATATCACTTTATCACTTGATTATTTTTAATAACATCTGTACACACACCCACACATCCATTGCAAATTTGCAATATTATTTTGATCATTAGTAAACATTATATATCAACTTTTTGTAGATAAGACAAATTCAACATGCTATATTAAATATAATTTATTGAAATATTACTCTGTAGTAAATAAAAGTCATAAAAAAATACTATAAATTAATATGCAAAATTATTTAATCGAAGTAGTATATTTTCATTAATTTCATTTTCACTTCCTCCGTTCTTTTTAGTTGCAATGGCAAACATTTCACATTTGCCAACGGACGTCTTTGACCGTAATTATATCTTAATCTTAAAAAAAATTAAAAATCAGATTTTGAAACTTTGTTATGAGATGAATTGAACAATATCTTTTTTAAAAAATAATTTTCATAAAAATAATAGCTTAAAATTTAGTCAAAGTAGAATCTGTGAATAATGTAGAATTCAACATATTGCGATAAAAAAGAAAACGGAAGATAGTACTACCTCCGTCCCATTTATATTGGGACGGAAGAGGGTGTCACGATTATTAAGAAAAGTGGTTTTGTGTAGTTGATATTAATCTATAAAGTAAAAATAAAGTAAGAATGATTTAGAACCACACAAACTTTGCCAAATTTGGTATGAGACAATTTAAGTGAAACTTCCCGAAAAGGTAAAACGAGACAATATAAATGAGACAGAGGTAGTACTCCCTCCGTCCCGAAAACAACTTCCCGGTTGGACTTTCACACACTTTTAAGAAATAAATTTGACTTTACTGTAGAGTGCACTGTTTTGCACTGTTTAAACACTGTTTTGCACTGTTTAAACACTGTTTGGCACTGTTTAAACACTGTTTGGCACTGTTTATCACTTTTTTTATGTAGATAATTTGCCAAATAAGGAAAGTAGTGATGGACCCGGGCCGGGTCGGGCCCGGGCCGGGTCAAGGCCCGGTCGGGTCTCGGGTCCTATAATGGTAGGCCCGGGACCGGCCGGGTCAATGACCGGTTCCGGTTCGGGCCGGGCCACCCGCCCGGGTCACGGGTCGGGCCACCCGCCGGGCCGGGCCGGGCCAGTACATTTTTTTATTTATTAATTATATATTATACAAATTGCTATTAAAAACAAAGTTCAAGTGCATTTATTTGAAATAAGAACTACATTTGAGAATTGAGAAAAAAATAACAATACGAAATACATTTTGTAATGAATATCAATTGGGATTTCCGCCACCGTTGGTTGTTGTTTTCCCTTTGTCACAGGACTTCATATGTTTTATTGGCATCCCGTATCCGTATGAACGCCCAAGCAACAGTCTTTCTTGCACCACTTGCAAGTTGCCCACCACAGTCCGGTCTTCGGGTCCTTCCACTTGTCAAAATTGTTTTGCATAAGGGAAGATGTACTTTCCATATTTAAAATGGTATATGTATAAGTAGGAATGTAGGATAATAAGAGAAGATGAAGATGGAGAAGAGTTTGAGAAGAATTGGAGAAGAGGTGTAGAAAAATGTTAGAAAATAGATGTATTTATAGATGTTTTTGAACCCCACTCCCCACACCACCACCCCCGGCCGGGACCCCCCTGCCTCCCACCCATAGCCCCAACGGCTATATAGCCGTTTGGGAGGTCTGAATTAATTTTTTTTTTAAGTTATACACATATTGTAAAATAAATTAATTAATTTAATGAATTAAGTAAAACTAAAACTATTTGTACTTATAAAAGTGGTTTGATTTATAATTTACAAATGTTACAAAATAGGTGTATAAGTATTTAAACAAATTACATATTGTAAATGTATTTTTAATTTAAAAACCGACTTTATATTTTAGAAAAATAACTTTTTGTCGTTAGATTGTAACCAATTAATTAATTTGAGAAGTGCTACATATGAAAAAGTGAACACATATTTATTTGAAATATGAAGTACAAGTTTACAAATTAATTTGAAGTACAACTACAAATTTACAATTTTGAAATATGAAGTACAAGTTTACAATTTTGAAATATGAAGTACAAGTATAAATAAATTTGACAAGTGCTATAAAATACATTTTATAATAAATTCTAAAATACTAATCAATCGGAATCTCCGGCATAGGTAGAGCCACCATCGATTGTTGAGTCATCCATAAAATCTTGAGAGGGGGTGATGCTCAATTCTTGAGTTCTACGTGCGGCCTTCAACCAATCGTGGTAGCATATAAGCGTCTCAAGAGACTCCGCGCTCAATCTCGATCTAGATGCCGTTAGGACGTTGCCGGCCGAACTAAATTCTTGTTCCACAGCAATTGTTGAAACCGGCATTGATAGTACTTGCTTAGCCATCCGTGCTAAAATCGGGAACGTTCTTTCTTTTGACTTCCACCAGTCTAGAACGTCAAAGTCATCATTTTCTTCAAAATCAACTTCATATGTTAAATACAAAGTAATCTCATTCAATGCGCTTTGTTCAGTGACGTGAGTTGTTTTAGTTTTTTTCATAAGATTGCCAAATGCAGATTTAAAAATCGATTTTCCTTTAGATGAAGATGTTCGTGACGGGGGAGGGGGAGCGTTGCTATATTGTGCACGAAACTCATTAAATAAGGCATAAAATAAAGTACTAACCTCGTTGTATTCCGTTTTCGGATCTATGGGGTTATCGTCATACATTGGAAATTCACCGAAAAACGCAAGATAATAGAAGTTGAAACAATCTTCCAAATTAGCAAGTCTACAACGAGGATCGAGAATAAATGCAATACCATAAATATGGGGAATATGCGCATAATATTTTAAAAACTTTTCCTTCATATGATCACAAAAATAATGAACGAAAACGGCATTTTGACATTCTTTATAAGCATCGGCGAGATTAACAGCTTGTGGAATAAATTGGTTTGCGGTAGGTTTATAAACATGACTAAAAGTTTCAGTAGCATTAAAAAAATATATCAAAACATTACAAATTTTTTCGCAAGTGTCGATCTCAGCCGCGTTTATAATATAGTTATCATGTTCTTTTAAAAAAGCAGGAAAATGTTCTTTATATCTAAGAACAACTTTAAGTAATTTATAAGTACTATTCCAACGAATACTCAAATCTTTAGGAAAAGCAACATATCTCACACCTCTTTCAGTCAAATAACTTTGCCATTTTAATCTAAGTTGACCATTACCCCAAATACGTCTAATCCCCCCCTTTATTACCTCCATGGAATCTCCTAACGCTTTTAAACCGTCTTGCACACATAAATTTATAACATGACATGCACAGCGTTGATGAAAAAATCTACCCATCAAAGAATTGGCACCACACAACTCACGCAATCTAGGTATAGCAGCAGTATTATTAGTAGCATTATCGAAACCAATAGCAAACACCTTATCAATCAAATTATACTCAATTAAAATACGCTCAATCAAAATATAAATATGTTCAGCGGTGTGACGATCATTAAATTCACGAAAAGCAAGAACACGTTTATGCATATTCCAATCCTCATCAATATAATGTGCAGTCAGACCCAAATAATATAAATGATGAAAATCATCCTCCCATATGTCAGAACAAATAGTAACACGCCCATCAAAGTTTGCAAAAAATTTTTGAAACCTTTCCTTTTCCGCATTATAAAGCCTTATTATTTCTTTCTTAACAGTTTTGCGACTATAATTTCTAAATTGAGGATTTAAACTACCTTGTGCATAATCTCTTAAAGCAAGACTTTCAGAAAACAAATAAGGCAAATTTTCTTTACAAATTAAGTTAGCCATACCAGTCAAATTTTGTGCATCATTGTAGGAAAAATTACCAAAAGGTTGAGAATTCGCAAACCTCGATATTTGAGTTTGCTTCCCCGTTCCGCCGCCTAATTTTGCATACTCCACGGGGTGCTTTGCCTTAAGATGCCTTGCGGCGGATCCGTATCCGCCGGAGGTTCCCAAACTATAATTGTCGTTGCACCACTTGCAAGTTGCGTGCCAATAGCCGGTTTGTGGGTCCTTCCATTTATCAAAATTATTTTTCATTAGTTCAGACTTACCTTTTTTATTACCGGTGGCGGTTTGGGATGAGGCAAGCGCGTCGGCGTCGTGGCTGCCGGCACCCTCCTCCTCGGCCGTCTCCGGTTCCAATTCCTCCGCATCTTCATCCTCAAGCTCCTCTTCGTCAATGGTCGTCGGCATTTGTTGTTGTTGTAGAAAGCGGTTATTATGTCGGGCCAATTCTTGTTGGAGTTGTTCTTCGGACATCGCATCTCCATCTCGCCTTTGGTAACCCGTTTCAAAATCATCTCGGCTTTGAGATGAAGAACCGGCAAGTTCTTTACCTTTGCGGGATTTCTTCCTCCCAATCTCGTTCCTCCGATTGCGTTGGAGGTTACCCAAATCAACCGAATATCTACCCCCTTCCATGTTAAAAATGTAACAAATATTAATTGACAACCAATATAATAATGGATACAAAACTAATGCAACTAATTAAAACTATTTTAATTAATACTTCAAACTAATTTAGTGCAAAGTAGAATTAATGTGTGACTTTAAAATTAAAATTATACCAACTTTTGAAGTACTTTAATTTAGTAAAAACTACTTAAATAAAATGTGAAGTACTTTAATTAAATGATTGAACTACTATTTCTTCCTACAAATATAAATTGGAAATAAGAAAATGTGACTTTAACTATAATGAATTAATGACAATTAACTAATTTATTGAAGTAGAGTTGTTTTAACAATTAATGAGAATACTAATGAAGTAAATAACTAGTATAATGAAAAATGTAACAACAATGCTAATTAACTAATTAACTAGTATAATGACAAATGTAACAACAATGCTAATAAACTAATTAACTAGTATAATGAAAAATGTAACAATAATGGTAATGAACTAATTAACTATTATAATGATAAATGTAACAAGAATGCTAATTAACTAATTAACTAGTACAATACTAGTTATATTAAGTAATATAATATTTATAGTATATAATATATAAGTATACTACTATAAGATGAGTAATACACTTATATTTTATACTTTAATATATAAAGTATATATTAAGTAGATGTAGAATGTATGTATTAAGTGGATATAATAATTGTATAAGAATTAAATATTAGAGTATAATGGAGAATTGGAGATTGGAAAATAAAAAAATAAGTATATATAAAATAGATATTATAAAGTATATATAAAAGTAGATATTATAAAATAAGTATATATAAAATAAAAATTATTAAGTAGAGAAGTAGATATTATTATGTATTAAGTATATAGTAATAGTTTATAAAGTATATTTAATACTTTATTATATAAAGTATATATTAAGTAGATGTAGTATGTATGTATGTATTAAGAAATATAAGTAGAGATTAAGTAGATAAGAAATATATGTAATATAGTATATGTATTTACAAGTAGATAATTAATATATAAATAGATATAATAATTGTATAAATATTAAATAGTAAAATAAAATATAAAGGAGAATAAGAGAATTTGAGAAGATGAATATGGAGAATTGGAGATGAGTAGAAAGTAGGATTTAGGGAGAGTTGGAGAAGAGGTGTGAAAAAATGTTTAAAATTAGGAGTATTTATAGGTTTTTTTTAACCCCACCACCCCCACCCCCTACCCCACCCCACCCCCAAACACCCCGGACCCCCCCTGGTACCCCCCAACGGCTATATAACCGTTTGGGAAGTGGGGGTTGAGCCAAAAGGGTTTTTTCAAATTAAAAAGAATTTTTTTTTTTTAAAATCTGACCGTTAGGCCCGGGCCTCCAAAAACATGACCCGAGCCCGGACCCGCTAACCCAACCGGTTCGGTGCCCGAACCGGACCCGGACCCGAGAACCGGGCCGGTTCCGGGCCCGCACAGTGACGGGCCGGGCCGGTCCCGAGCCGGGCGGCCCAAACCGGGTCCAAGCCTAAAGGAAAGTATTGAAGTGTGAAGTTAATTTTGGAACATCCATTTAAGGAAAGTGGGAAGTTGTTTTCGGGACGGAGGGAGTATTATTTATCTATAATAGGAAAGAAAAATGTAACCGGGCCACGGAAGACCAGTGACACACGGTTGCGGTGGGTGATGTATAACCCTTCTTAAGTTAACCTCAACACGTGTCAATACTTAATACAACCAGTTCCCCAGTTAAAAGAAAAGGTCTTAGGAATAGTGCCTACCCCAACTGAGATGGGAATAACGGAGCGAGTACCAATGAAAAAGTTACGCCTGAAGATACTCATGAACAGAACCAACAAAAAATAAACAATGTCTTTCAAAACCTCCAAAATGTACTTCAAATTAGATAGTAATATCTATTGACGAATACAATCAATAGCTGGCAACATAACACTTCTTCTGTATTTCCTCAACATGCAGCGCTTTATCCTTAAATCTTGATATGAAAGTAATCAGCGTCAAGATGATGCAATCTCACATACCCATCTTCACCGCCACTTGAAAAGCTATAGGTAAACACAAGATTATAGATTAAAAGCTGTCTAACTCCAATGACTTACTGATTATTTCTGATTCTTAAATGAAGCAATTCCAGACTAAAATATGAAACTTTTATCCAAATATTGTCTTGGAACTTAGTGACTGAAAGTTTTGAAATTGAAACCAATAAGACAAATTTAATTAACACCCATACTTCGTTCAAGAGACTGCAATCAAGCATAATAAATGGCAATATTTTAATAGCACATGAAAATGTCACCTTCTCCCATCAGGGTTGAAAGCCAAAGCATTAATGGGTCCAAAGTGCCCTTTGACACCACCAATCTCTTCTTGAAGAATCTAAGTAACACCAGAAAGGTAAACTCTTATCATGTGCTTCACTACGGGGTAACTACAACTACCAACTTCTGTGGTACACCCAGAAGGCCAGAACTATTCATATTTGCTTACCTTATCATAGAATTTAGCCTCAAACTTCCCAGCACGATGATCAGTCTGGGTCACACTTACTGCATCTTGACCGCCTCCAAGCACAATCTGCATTGCAAGGGAAGCACAGCAAAGAAGTTAATGGAAAACAAAAGCAGCAGAAGTTTTGCATTAGATTGGGAAAGATGCATTTAAATTTGACACTTATTGTCTGATAAGTAAAGCAATTGAACAAATATTGCATTGAGACCACTAGTGTGTATTTACATACATGATCCAGCAATGGTGAAATTGTAACTGCATTTACTGGGCGCTCACTGACATACGTTTTAAGAAGTGTCAAGTCTCTGATGTCCCAAAGCTGGCATTAGAACACAAGTACAGAGTATATATATATTAGTCAGCAAGGAAAATGAAATTATTAATGGTTCAGAACCCAAAAATGCTACATAACAAAGATAAGATGGAAAATAGAGGGGAAATTGGGTATTTCAAACTTAAGAAATCTATTTTAGACATTTTCTCAAGAAAAAAAAGTAAAACACAACAAATTGTACACAAATTTTATTTTCCTTATTTCGCAAGGTAAACGAGTAAAATCAAACATAAAAAAAAATTACATTCATATTTTTCAACCATTCTCCATGTTCCAGGAATGACATAAAAGCCTGGGCAACGGAAATAAAAACACATGTCAACAAGGTTGACGGACAAGTTACCTTTGCCGATTTATCTAATGAACCAGTTATAAAGTGCGAACCATCTACGGATTTTGCAAGAGAAGTGATCCCCTTTGTATGACCAGATTCTTTATCAGATTCCTTGAGTAATTTCCCTGTCTACCAATTTTTTTAAATGGTCATAACTTCAGGCTTCAAGTAAAGAAATAAACTATATTAGGCATTACAAGTTACTCACAAAACAAAATATAATGAACATACCTCAGTATCCCAGATACGAAGAACAGAATCTTCACCACCACTTATAATAGTTTTATTCAAAGGTCCCCAAACAGCTCTATTGATCCTTTTCTGGGGGCCCTTAAGGATCAGCGCAGACTCACTAGTTTCTGAAATAGTATTGAATTCATCTCATTTGAAAAACAGTACCTCAGTTTATAATAATATAACCCTCCCATATCTGATACTTGGAGAGCATTTGGGATAACTACATATGAAGGAAAAAGTTCATTTTAGAGGAAGAAAAGTATTTAAACTTCCAAAGAAAGAGTTTGGGAAGAAAATGGAAAAGTGGCTATTAACGGTGAAATAAGCACCTCTAATGCCTTATTCAACAAAGCAACAGCTTGGTGTTTTTCATAAAATACTCTGAAGAGCTAAAAATGGGAAAGCACTCGTGATAAAAGCATGTATACCATATCTTATCCCAACAGTCTCTTAAAAAAAGAAAATCACAACTGCAGAAACTTACGATCATCAGGATCTCTAGCAATTCGTTTTACATGGATAGCAGAAGGAAGCTCCATGAATGGATCAGTGGTAATAACTGCAAGCTTATCACCAACAGAAAAGTCAACAGACCTACATGGTGAGTCAAATTTGAATGTGAACTGCTCAGTGCCAGTCTTAACATCCCAGAGCTTGGCTGTTTGGTCCGCACTTCCAGTTATTAGTCTACTTGAGTCGCCTGTATACAAGAAATAATAAACCATGGTAAAACAAATATCCAGCTAATCGTTACTAAATCATATATTGTCAATCCCGCTCAATCCACACTTTACGTATGTTTGCTAATGAAACTGATGGGGAAAACTATCAAGAAGGTCCGCGTACTATAAAAAAAAGTCAATTAGATTCTCATACTTCAGAAAGACCCAATTGAATCCTTGAACTCTTAAAACAATGCTCAATTCAACGATTTACGAGGTAAACCAGGGGTTTCCCGGTTACCTGCCCGAGTGGCAGCCCGCGTTAAAGTAATGTTTTTTCTCATTTTTTCCTTTCTTTTTCTCTGGCTTGTAAGCTGGCATGTTCCCTTCTGCAAATGAAGCTTTGGCATCTTCCAGCGAATGAAACATTGACCCCTTCCGGAGAAGATTGTGAACTTCCGGCAGCGGCTGGCATTGATGGGAGGAAGCAGAAAATGCAAATCCGGCAGCGGCTGGCACTGTTGTGGTCTCTGGTGAGTCCGGATTGAAGATCAGAGCACCCTGTGGACTCCGGTGAACTCATCGCCACCTACCCATCCCTCAATGTCGAATATCTACCGTCTGACCGCCCCTTGCTGGAAATCACTGTCCAGCTGTTTCTTGTTCCAGACTCCATCCACATACCCCTTCTGATGGCTCCCTCCAATTCCTTGCTAGATCTTGCTGGATACCTACCGTCTGACCATCATCCCGCCGCGCCTTATAACATGTGCATCAGTAATGTAGGCGAGCTCGACAAACAATAAAATGGTTGATAGAGAAGAAGATAGACATAGTGAAATGTCTGATACAGGTGGGGACTGGGTTAGAAAGAACTCAGGAAGAAGAAAGCCACAGGAAGCGAGAAAGAAAAAGGAAAAAAATAGAAAAGGGAAAGAAAAAAGTAAAGACAAAATAGATATGAAAAAAATATAGAAAATATTAAGAAAACACATGGCAGTCCATATCAGCGTTTAACCGGAAAACCGGTTCTTTACAGCCTA